AATAATTAATAGATATTATTTTTTGTAGTAACTTAATATTTGTACTTTTCTTTTTTTTATATATATATATTTTTTTTTTTCTGTAAATGTAAAATCACGCGTTTAAAATTAATTTTCATTGCATCGGGTAATAGAGATTTGATAAAAGTAAATAGAGAATTCAATTGAAAAGTGCATCTGCGAATTGGACGATTTATATGTCAGGCTATTTTATCACTTGATTGTATGATTAATATATTTTGCTTTTTGTTACAGGTGATCATCGTTCGATTTATCAACACACCTTCTGGATTCTATTTTATTTGAGTGTCTTAAATTTCTTCATTTTAAAATATATATATAAATGCATTTCTGAAGGCACACACATTTTTATACATTACAAATATTAAATATATTCATTTAAAATTTTATTACTATAGAACTATACCATTTATACTATCAAAGAATATATTATATACTATCATATACTATCAATGAATACTGTATATTTTGATAGTATTATACCGTTGTCGCGTAAAGTACCTACTGTCGTCCACTGGTGGTCCTGATAGTAACTAAGATGAATCTGGTTAGATAAAAACAGGGAACTTGCGAGTTTCTATGTACTCTTCTATTTTCCTTGGTATATATTTTTAATTGTATGAAGTTCATTGCGTTTTCTGTTGGTAAATCAATAGAGACTTCTTGAATTCAAATATTCGTACAGATAATTTAGTTGAAATTTTAATTCGCGGGCTTTTATAATTGTTACATGAAGTTTTTTGATTCGCCAGGTTGTGATTGAAACACATTTTAAATAAATATTTTTGTTAGTATATGGTTTCAGAATACATTTCGTTTAATTTGTGATTTATTATCAGAAACATAATATTTTTAATCTTCATTATCAATTAATAATTATCACATTTAACAAAAATGGACTCAAGGGATATATCTTGTAAGAACAAAAGTTAGTTTTTTCTTTTAAATTATTTTTGTGGTCTAAAATATGTAGAAATATAATTTTATACCATAAAGTTTTATTTTTTTAAAATAATTTTAGGTAAGATTGTGATTCCTAAAACTTCATTTTCTGTTAAAGTTACTAATTTTAAGAATCCATATTGCATAAGAATATATAAAACTGAAGATTATATTAACAAATCTCAACTGATTTGTAAAAAATTAGTTAATCACATGAAAATGGAAAACTTGAATTCGAAGGATAATGGTGATCCTAATTTAGGAGATGTAAATTTAAATATTTGTATTCACATATAATTGTATGTGTGAGATAGATAAAATTATTATATTTATTTTTTGTGTAGCTTGTCGTTGTTCATGGTAAAGCGAGTCCAGATGTAGATCTTCCAGGATGGTTTTGTAGAGGATTAATTGGCCATTTTGATCCCATGACAATGAGATATAATGTTTTCTTGGTAGATTATGGAATTTCAGTTACAATGTTAAAAGATGATTTTATTTTTTTACATGATAATATATGTGATGAATATTTAACAATGGATATTGGTATATATAACATAATACCTACAGTTATTAAGAAAAGAAAATCTACGAATGAACTTATACAGTTGTAAGTAAATTTGTTTCTTTAATAGAAATTTATGTATATATATATATATATATATATATATATATATATATACTCTTTAATATTTCTTAATTTTAAATAGTATTACAGATAAATGGACAACCANATCTATATATATATATATATATATATATATATATATATATACTCTTTAATATTTCTTAATTTTAAATAGTATTACAGATAAATGGACAACCAAAACTATAAAGTTTTGTAAGGAATTAATTATTGCATCTAGCAAAATATATTTTGATATTCTTGTCCGTGATGAGTGTGGAAAGTATTATGGAGAGTTATATCTTCTTGTAAATCATGAAATAATATGTTTAAGTAAAACTTTAAGCGAGAATGGATATGCAACTTATTTAAAAGAAGGTCATTTTTCTTTATCATAATAACTGTTGATATATGGTATATTCAATCTAAATTTGTATAAAAAATATAAGTGGAATATTTTCTCTGTATAGATTTGTTGAAATTAATAGAGGAACCAAATAGCGAGTTTGAAAAAGAATGCGAGGATAATGTTACTACTTATTTTATAAAAAAAGTAAATGAAAGCAATTTTAGTGAGAAACAAGATGTGATCAATTTAAATATATCTCGTACTATACAAAAAGGTTCTGAATGTAAAGAAAGGTGAGAGAAAAACGATAGATTATATTTATCCATAATATAGCAGAAAGTGTGTGTTATTTTTGTTCGTCTTTTACTATTAGACTTTTTTATATTTAACACATTTATATATAAACATATATAATTAATATTTAGGTTACATGAAAAATGCTCAAATGCAATAACAGGAAATGATATACATAAAGTATTAATATATAGCAATATTTCATGTAAAAAATTGGATTTTGTTTCTGATGCTCAATTTCCTGCAAAAATACATATGGTATGTATCCGTAAAGAATTATTTTCTTATATTTTTGTTTTACCCCAATGAAGATTTTAGAATATCTAATACATGAAATATTATATATTCTTTTCTTTTTATAAAGGCTTGGAATTCATTATTGCAATCAAGTAAACCTAATAAGATGCAATCATATATTTGGCCTGCTATAAAGCAAAAGTTAAATGTGGTTGCTATTGGACCTAAAGGTTCTGGTAAAACGGTTGGGTACACTTTCGCTATTACTGGTTTACTTGCTGCACGAAATGCTGTAATTAGAGTTATATTATTATTTAATATAAATTTATTTATTTTGGTTTAAGTGTTAAAGCGTAAGAGAAACTTATACTTAAACTTTATATTTACATTATCTGTTATGCATTATATTTTTTTTTTATGCATTGTGATTGCATTTGATTTACTAGTTATATTAATGATATATCAATGAATTGAAATATTTCATTGTAGTTGCCTCAAGGAAATAGTCCATCTGTGTTAATATTATGTGCATCGTCTTCAGAAGTATTCAGCGTACATTCACTTTGTTTGAAATTTTTGCAAGGCTATGGTCATATTAAATCAGTTACAGCATTTATTGGAAAATCAGACAGATCACTGGCGGTAAAAATATACATTTGAATTATTATTTGCATATATATATATATCTAGATGTTACAAGATTATTTATTTACACTATTTTTATTGTTTCTAGGCTGAAATATATAATGGATGTCAGATATTAGTTTCAACACCAACATTCTTGGTCAAATTTTTAAGAACATATAAAAATTTATTAAATTTTAACAGTCTTTGCCATTTAATATTTGATAATGTAGATATGATATTAGATAAATATTATTCTTCTGTAAGGCAAATAAAATTTAATCTTTTATAAAAATTAAATTTTTACGATATAATAAAATGTTATCTTTATTTAATGTTTTAGATATTAGAATTACTTGATAAACATAAACTAATTACAAATAGAGAGAACCAAAGTGACGAATTATTTCCTTTGCAAATAATTTTTACTGCAAGACATTTTACAAGACCAATGAGAACATTAATTAGGAAAGTTGTGTATAATCCATATATATGTATTACTTCATTTCTAGAAGCAGTAATATTTAAATCTGTTCAACCGAAGTTGTATATGTTAAATTCAAAATTGAAACTTCAAAAGCTTTTAGGTAAATATATTTGTAAAAAAAATTTCATATTAAAGCAAAATGCTAATAATATTTGTGCATAAATGCATAATATTTTAGATATATTGGGTAATGAATGCACGTTAAAAACTATGATTGTGTGTAGAACTGTTGATGAAGCAAAAGAAGTAAATGCATTCTTATCAAAACATAAACAAATACTTTTAGCTCACGAGGAAAAGCATTTATTTGAAATAGAAGGTTTGATAAAATTAAAAATAAAAGTACAAAACAAGAAAAACAAAAAAGATAATAAAGTAATTTTATATTTAAGAATACTCATGTTAATTATCTTTCATTAACATTTTATAGATATTAAAAAATTATGGCAAATGTCTGTTCCTGGTTTTTATCCTATTATAATATCTACTGATGAAGTTTTAACCGACTTAAATATTACAGATGTGGATTGGTTGATACACTATTCTGTTTCATTAGAAGTAAAAACAAATTTTAATTTTAGATTTTCAACTCTTATAAATAATTTACAGAAGGTAATAGATAACAAAAATTTCTTATTTTTTTCTTTGCTATACAATTTATATATAATAATAAAAATACAAATTATATATAATAATAAATCATCAGGTATATATACATCTTAATAATGCATTTAGAGTAAGATAAGTATTTTACAGGAAATAACTAAATGTGAAGTTACAATATTTATCAATGAAAATGATAATATACAATTTCTAAGTATAATCAATACGATGAAACGGATGGGTGTAGTATTATCAAATGATATGTTACTTAATATTGAGGTAGGGAATTAAAAGGATTTTTTGTATAGTAATTCTTCTTTTTATCATACTTTTACAAATCTGAAATATTAAGAATAAAGATGATATTGTTATTCTTAAGAAAATAATTAAAATCTGAAAGAAAATACACATTTTTTATAGCGTATATCCATAGCATTGGATAAATGTAAAAAGGAGTATCCGATATGTGATAAAGTGAAATCATTAGGATTTTGTCCAGACAAAAGTATTTGCGCATTTAGACATTGTATTATTTCTGATGTCGATGCACCAATAACAAAAATAGAAACGTAAGTCATATTTATTAGATTAGCCAAATTTTGTAAGTATAATTTTCTATTAATAGAATTCACTTAAATGAAAAAAGTAATTGATGACATTATAATACATGTAATATATTCCCTTATATAAGAGATAATCATATCTGTATATAAATTTATATTTTATTACAGAGGAGATAAAGTAAAATTTATGATTACATATATACATGATGCAAGTCATTTTTCAGGCAGAATAATAAGTTACGTAAAAGCAAATAATTCTGAAATTATAGAATTTTCCAAAAATGAATACATACTGCTTACATCGAAAATTCAAATATTTTTGGGAAACATTAATAACAGGTATAATTAATTTTTCATAAAAATCTGTTTTCATAAAAAAATCACTATAACTTTAGATGCATTTATCTCTTCAATATTATTTACTTGTACATAGAAGAAGATCTAATATCATTGAGGTAGGAGGTATATATGGCTTGGAAGACTCCATAGAAAGTTTTAAAAGAGTACAAGTTTTACAAATTAAAACTGTAAAGAAAAATCGTCTTGAGACTGTTCAAATCGCAGATGTAAGATGCATTGACACCGGAAATATATTAACAGATATTAAGGTATTTGTTACAAAAATAGATATACCTTTATTATATAATATAACATCTTTGTGTAAGTATATCAATAAGAGGATTAAGTTTAGGTGCAAAAATTATTGTCGTTACCAGAAGAATTATCCAAATTACCAACACATATAGTAGAAATATTTTTGGTTGGCGTAGCTCCATGCGATAATGAGTACGAATGGAATAAGTATGCTAATGAAATTGTTTCTGATTGGTTTGATAAGAATTATAATCAATATTCGTATATTGTTGGAAAGGTAAAATATCTTGAATATTATTATAAGAGTAAAATATTTTAAATAATAAAAAAAAAAATACATATATATGCACAACAATGTAATAGTACTTTATATTAATTTTAAAATATAGGTTTCTTTACATTTGGGTAATACAATTTGGACTGATACTCTTAACATTGGAAATAAAATGATTGGAAGACCTGATATTGTTGGTCTTAATTTAAAAACTGAACTTATAAATAAATCTCATGCTGTTGTTAATAAAGATCATATGCAGAATATTTATACATTGTGTAAAAATGGTGGATTAATTATAAACAACCAATGTGATATAGAACACTTAAAAGTTTCATAAAAAAAAACATTTTTCTTTAAATATTACTGTATGTATAAGCATACAATCCAGAGAATATGTTATGTAAAAATGAATGACATAATTTTTACAATACTGTCATAAATATAATATTTTTACAAACCTTATGTTATTATTTTTGTTCTAGTATCTTAAATATATTTTAGTTAAATGTACTTTTTTCTTATATACATTTTTTTTATAAATACCGGATACAATAAAAAAAAACTTAATGCATGTATATATAAATCTGTTACATAAATTATATCAAATCGTATCATACACAAACTCATATTTTACTTATTAGATTTATTTATAATCAGTATCAAGTGTTGTTTCATTATTAGGTTTACATGTATTTTTAAGTATAGTTTTAAAAATCTTCGAGCTACAATAGATTAATGATAGTCTATGTTGTCCCCGTAACGGTCGTAATACTTTAAGTCGTTCTTCTAATAATTTTGTTTTAAGTAAAAAAATACGTTGACACATTAAGATATCTTGAGCACTATATCCATATTTATACAGTATGTTTATTACTTCATCAATTTTTTGTAATTTTAGATTTAACAATTGCGGAGATCTATTAATATAAAATTCAACCTCTTCTTCGGTTAAATTTAATTTTTTAGATAAAAACTCTATGTGACTACTATAAATATTCTTGAATATTTCGTTTTTTTTTAATCTTTTGATATATCTGAAAAGATTTTGTTATTATATTCAATTGTTAAATAATATAGTTTTAATGAACTTACTCACGTAATCCAAGTACAGAGGATCGAATTATCCAAGGCTTTATTTTCTCCATTCCTGCTGCTTTCATCATTGATGTTCTTAAATATATAGTTCTTGGATAGTATTTGAATATCCAAAGATTTAATAATATATCTTTGGAATCATAATTAAATTCTGTGGTAATAATGAAAATAATATACATATAAATTCTATTACTAAATGATAAATATGGCAAGTAATCTATATATAAATTGTTTTATACCTTTCAGTACTTTTACAATTGCTCTCATTTTCCTAAACGAAAGTTTTATTATTGTTGGGTCTTTTTGAATGTATTTGTACAATGTATAGACGTTACACTGCAAAATACATAATTTATTTTATAAGTAATGATTGAAACAATATAAAAATAGGGAAATATATAAAACTTTTGATCTTTTACAATTAAGCTTGTGAATAAGTTTTCTCAATTACCTGCAGTTCATCTGCAAGATATTTAAGTTTATTTATTTCCGTTTTGTTATTCTTTTCTTTGCCAATATATATTAATGTATTTAAATGCTTTATACTTATGTCTAATAATGGAAGCATCTCAGTAATATTACTATCAAGAGTTTTAAGGCAAAATATCTTTTCTTCTAGTACGTCAATGTTTCTTATTAACATTGGTAAATTTTCTACAATTAAAGGTGTCGACAAGCCAGCGTTTTTTACAATAGTAATCATATTCATTGTTTCATCTTTTGTTAATTTTTTACATTTTTTAATATTCTTCCAGATTTTTGTTGCCTCTTGTGCATCAACAGAAAGAATATTCGATAAGTTAGTAATAAATGGTTGATTTGACTTGGTGCATACAGAGCTTTTATATATATCGTTTTTATAAAATCTATTGCAATTATGAATATCAAAAAAAGCAGAAATGTTTATTACTTGTGTTGTACATAAATTAAGTAAACCTACTCTTGATTTTCTGCTGTACTGTGATAATAATGGATATTTGTGCAATAGATATACTTTAATATTATAAATAAGACATTTGGCCATTACTTTCTTTTATTCAACTATTTTTATTAGCATGATGCAAATTTTCCCCTGGTTTTTTTTTTCTTTTATTTGAATCTGTTATATTATAACAACAAATAAACAACAATAAATTATAATTTATATCAAACATAAATTTTTTTTATATAAACTGTGTTATCAAATATGTATTTTCATACAGATTCAAATTAATACACTAGATTTGTATTTCTATAAATTCAATATATTAATTAATGTCTATTAGCAATGATTAATATTAAATACAAAATTTTGAAGGTTAGTTATATTTACAGTATATCTACACACGTTTAAAAAATATCCACAAATCCAGTAGCGCATGGAACCATATTCAATTGATCAGACATATACTGACATCTAATGGCCAAACATCTAAGCTATAATTTAAAAACGTATTTAGATATAATACATACTTCATATTATAGTAGATTGGTGATATAAACATTTAATTATCCATGAATTAGAAAATAATATACTTAATTATAACATTTATATAGAGTTTTTAATAACATAATATTTTTACATTATTTTTTACAGTGTTTCCAATAATAACATTATTAAATAAAATTACAATAATATATATATACACATATTACATATTAGTCAATTTTACTTACGTAGTTACCATGAAAGTAAACAGGAGCCAATAATATTAAAATAGTAATTTGGGGAGTTCATTATTTGCGCGGTAAGAGATAGTAAGAAAATATATACGTGTATTATCACCGTGTTGTAAAATAGATCAGTATTTCAAAGTAACAATAGTACATTTTTAAATTGTAATCAAGAATAAGATGACACCGCAAAGGAGTTAGTGCAAAGTGTTTTATATTTTTATAACGAATCGTTTAAATAAGTGAAATCAGCCCACAAGTAATGATTGAACTATTCCAAATGAACAATTTAGTTTTATGTAAGTAACGAAATTCTTAATATTTGCGTTTTTTCTTTTTACATTATGCAGAAAAGAAAACAGTACAACGAGTACGAATGCAAATACATAGATTAATCTTAAGTGTTGAGTGTGTAAGTAAAGAAAGTTGTATTTTTAGAGATAAAGAGTGGAGGATAGATAAGTATTCTTTTTATAACTGAGATAGGTTTAACTCGGAAATTTTCCCGTAATTTTTCTTGTTAATTTATCCTAGCTCAGTAATATCGGTAAGACGATGTCAAACAAAGTGTCAAGGCCGCGTGTACTAGTCGTCTTATAGCTAAAACGATCCTTTCTCTTTATTCGTCAGATGGAAAACGAACTACTCGCACGCGCTCTTCTGAAAGTTTTGTACCGTTCACCTTTCGCAAAAAAGTACAGGCGAATAATTCGAAAGTGATTCAATTAAATTTCATCTTTTTCGATCAAAAGTGAAAACGTTGTATTTTCGAGTTTTGTGACAGAGAAATCGGTGTAAGAAAAAAATTAACATGTGATATTGAATGTGGAAAATCCAAAGTTACATTAGTAAGTTAGTGAGGAAGTTTCTAAGGAAAATTGTGGTAACATAGAATTTGTAGTTTCTCGGTAATAATTACACTCGATAATGTGAAAAATATTTTCTTATCGTGCAGATAGAACAACAATTTGTATTACGTATGCGACTCGAAAAATATCGTTTAGATATGTTGTCATAACAACGCGATATTTTTACAGACATTAATCCGAGGTCTTTTAGATAGATTTGTGCAACATGTCTCGATCATTTCTAATTAGTATTACAAAATCTTGTTTATTCAGATTGAATACAGATGGCAATAAAGTAACGCGTAAGAACATTTCTCTTTATTTATCTTTTTCTTTTTGAACTTATATATATTTCGTTGTGCAGATACTATACTCGTAGAATGTAGAAAGGGGCAATAAACGCGTACGGAAACTATGCGTCAGAATCTCGGTGAAAGATCTTCGCTTTCACTGCATTATACCGATTCGTCTGATGTTTTCCTACGGTATATGTACTCATATAATAGATACAAACCTGATCTAATTCTCGATCGTTTTTTCTCTATGTTGTAATAGTTGAAAATAACGAGCGTTGCTATCTTTACTACTCCTGCAATTTCTCTTTTATTTCTAGAATTAAAATTTCAACACATTTGCTTTTTGAAATTGCCCTAAGCAACAAACATGGATTGCACACATTTGGTTTGTAACTTTTATAAGATATTTTATTTATTTTTTTTGATCGTACAAAATAATATTTTGATAAAGTCCTGAGTAGTAAAATTTATAAGATTTATAAACGTACACATAGTAAAATGTATATAGCAAAAAGTGAGCATCATCCGCAGCGAGATGTAATTAGCGTGAATCGTTCGTGGAATTGAATGTTTTTTTCTTTCTATAGAATTTGCTTACCGGTGTTGCTGATGTTTTTGCTAAAGGCATTGCTGATGTCGCTACTGATAAATCAAGTAGAGGTCTTTTACCTCATGCGGAACGTATAATAAGCGGGAAAGCCGAGCTTGCCTTGTACCGAATTTGACCTCATTTCTAAGCCCCTATATATATATATTCGAGAATTATAATTCATTTAAATCGATATCCAGGCCAATCTCGTTTTTATCCACTAACTCGAAGTCATCCATATTTGTGTGTATCTCTTTTGGAGTTAATTAGATGCTTATCTTCTGGTCATAATTAAGCCAGTGAGAATAGATGTTATATACATGTATGCATACATTGTAAATAAATACGTAGCTAAAGTAGGTTCATTCTATATTCCAGGTGTTTGTCCCATTAAGTCTGATAATTATTCTAAGATATTACTTGAACTAGTGTAGTAATTAGCTTGAAGTAATACACTACTTATTACTATTTACTAACGTAATCTTACTTTTTTCTTATTACGTTTGTTTTATAATATAAATTCACAATTAACGGACCGATATTATATATATTGATAGTAAGAAAAATTTATTTATTCGTGGTTATAAAAAATCAGCTAACAGCTAGAGCTATTCCTTTACTATTAACGAAATTATTTTCAATTTTAATCGATGTGATATTTCGAAAATGCATGGTAGACTTTAGCAGTATCCGTTAGTATGCATGTTGGATTAGCATTACATTGGATTTCTGGAGATTTTTGCAATCTCGATTAGGATCTTTCGTACGACTAATAGAATGCTTATACATATATTAGATATACTATTGGAACGACAATTACATGAGTCAATTTTTTAGCGTGACGGTGTTGTAAACATTATAATTTACCTTCGTGTTCGTGTTTATTAGTAGTTTTGAAAGAAAGAAATACATTTATATGACGGATTTGGTATTGTCTATAAAAAAACGTTTGATAGTCGATAGATAAAGTGGGAAACACACAAAAGTTGAGAATCTCTTAAACTTCTTAGTAAACATTTTGTAGGAAGTGATTAGGATCAAAAGCTGTTAGATCGAAGTCATTTGTTGTCTGATTGTTATTTTATTTTTTGTTAATAATACGAATAGTGTGAAACGATCAAAAAGTGTTATTCGATATTATCGCGGAGCGCTTCGTGTTGCAAACGCATGCGCACAGTTACGGTTAATTCTGGGAAAAGCAACGAGAATTGAACTTGGGTGCTGTCGTTATCGAGAGTGATGGCAGTGAGACATTATGCGCGGGAATACGCGATACGGATAAAAGAGAAGAACCAAGATAGCGCAGACGACAGCGATAATGGAGAATTGGAGGATCATTATCCGTTAATTCGACAAACTGAGAAAAATCTTACGATCATTAACGCCGATATTTACAAAGGAATCAACAACGGACTTCGTTCTTCCTCCAAAATTGTAAGTCAATTTTCAATTTTTTTATTTATATTATACTTTAAAATCTTTTTCTTTTTATTTTATTTTTTATTATTATTGTTTACTCTTCAATTTTTTATATCTACAGAGAGGAGAAAAACAATTTTTCGTGTCTCCTTTTACAATCTGTATATTTGTATCTTTCTCTCTCTCTCTCTTTTTTTTCTATTCTTTTTATTTGTATCTCTCTTAGCTATCTTTCTCTTCATTCAATATCGTACACGTACGTTGTACGCGCGTTGCATCGGTTAAACGATGTTCTTCATGCACGATTTTCACGCCGAAGTTATTTTCTGGTCTTTTTTACGGTTTTTCTTTCTCTATTTTTTTTATTTTTTGTTGGCTGTCTGAAACGAGATCGTCGATTGGTAGAAGGTGATAACTGTTCGTTCGTTCGTTTGTTCGTTTGGCCGCCTCTCTGACAATATCGTTGCATACAATAGTGAGTAGGAAGGTGTAGTAGAGAGATGTTATTTCGGAGGTTACTCGAAATCTCAACACGGCGGACGGCATTTCAATTTGTCGACGATTGTCGTCATGAGAGAGTAATATTACTTGCACGGCAAAAATTGTAACATGTTTTCGCTAAAGGAATGAAAGATGAAGTTTATAAAGTTCTCGATTTATATATCCGAATTCGTGATACCAATCCATATATATATATACGTAAGAAACTTTTTTGAGAATCGTTCATTTTGATATTATCTACTGATATATACATCATTTTTAATACATTTATTCATTAGAATTAATTAATTAGTTTTGAAAACTGTATTGTATTTTGATTTGCTCATCATTAGGAATGCTGCGATCCATCCGAAAAAGTCCATATCGAACGTTGCATTACGAACTAGTGTAAGGGAATGCAGTAAAGTTCTTAATTTTTAATCTAAATTACTGGAAGAGTGACAGATTTGTGGTATCATTTGAATGCTCTGATGTGTGAGCACATAGGAACGAATAAATTCTAGCGGCCATTATTCGTTCGGCATTCGCATTCGGTCACGTAGTCTCCGCAAAATGCACAAAGCAACGGGCATAAATCAGTCTGTACCTACAGGAGTGTTATTCTTCTTCTATTAATGAATATAGAACATTGTGACAAAAATCAGTGCACTATATATGGGGTAAATTCATTGATTTAAGAATCAAGTTCAAAAGTAATCATAAAAATAGTATAATAATTATTATACGAGTAATGTTTCCAAAAATAAAATGAAATAATATATCAACACTGTGAATATAAATGAAATTAGATAGAAAATGATTTTATTTTTGCGCATAAAAAAATCGTTCGCTTTGAAATTAATGTTAAAAATATTTGTGATATATTTTTTGTTTTAAATTCCATTGGGTAAGAAATGATTGAACGTTGCTTACCGATCGTAAAATAAAAATGGAATATAAATTTGGATTTTTTGAAAGATCCATTTTCTAATGTCGAAATATTTCTAGAAAGGGAAAGAGAAAAAATAAGAATAAGATGTAAGCTTGGTTCTTCGATTTTA